TATAAATTAACTTTGATATAAATTAACTTTGTTATAAATTAACTTTGATATATATATAGCAGAGTAGTAGCTGGCAGTTGTCCACAACACATGCACTAAGTGCTAACATACAAAACATTGCAGATCACATGACACTGCACGTTATTCGCAACGTGTAACCAAAATGGCTACAACTCTGTTATTTTTCCACATGAAATCACCTTAGTTAAAATTCCTGGATGAGAAATGGTGGACAATGTGCATTCCTTTAAACAATGTTAGGCGTTCAGTTACAATTTAGTTTATTCCCCAATACAGAAATTCTGACCTCCGTGACTAAATAGTCCTGCATCATTTCTACACAGTCATACAGCTGCTGCTAATGACCTTTACAAATGTTGCATTAAATAAAAAATATAGGTTGCAACAGAAACAAATACATATCTTCTGCTAATGTTAAGAGCGATCTAAAGAGAAAACATAATGACCAACAGCCCAGACACACACTGCATATCTTTTAAGTTGGTTTTGGTTATTTCATTTGGTTGTTCCATTGGTTATGTAACTCATAGGGGCGGCTGTGGCCGAGTGGTTCGAGCAGTCGTCCTTCAATGCAAGAGTTGGGGGTTCAAATCCACCAGCAGTCACATGCCGAAGTGTCCCAGGGCAAGACCCTGAACCCCTCGTTGCCTCTGATGCGTGTCCCATCGGTGCATGAATGTGATGAAGCTCTGATCAGTCTCTTTAGAATGATTTGTTCAGTCAGATTTTTATAGAGATCTAGTATAGAGCTGCATGAATGGGTACATGAGGCACAGATTGTTGTAGAGAGCTTTGAGTGTCTTGATCCGATAGAAAGGTGAAATATAAGTACAGTCCATTTACCATTTAATATTTTTCAGTTATTTCATCTGAGTTGTATTTTGTGATACTATCTGCCCAAAAAGTACATTTTTATTTTCTGAAACTGCTACAATAAACAGGAAGACACCAAACCTGACTTAAAATACTGTCACATAGCAACATGGACACGTATTAGTCCAGAGGGGGGCAACATTTTTTCAAAATGGCCATATCAAAACATTTATAGCAGCCAAAAGGCTACATGGAGAACTGGAAACAAAAAATGATCACATAATCCATAAGATCTTTTTAGGCTATTTCTTGTAGCATATTTAGCATACTTTATTAAACAAGTCTTTCCAGTATTCCTTCAGGAATATAAGACATGTTCTGTAAAGTGACTCTCGTGACGATATATTATTCACACTAGTTTAACGTGTTGGCAGAAATATGCAAAACAAACATGTTTCTAAGTCTTTAACGTTCAGTCTAGTTCTGGAAACACAATGACTTAAACATGTTTTTTAAAAGTTTTGCGTAAGGGGTTTATACGTCTTGCTGAAGTTTTTTTAATCAATCTGTTTTTAAACGTAGGTTGTTTTCTTTTGAACTGAGGGCACTGGGGACCTGATGGAGATTGTTCAAGGGCCACTGTTGGCCCTCGGGCCTTAGGTTGCCCACGTGTGTATTAGTCGAACAGCCTTTACTGCACTAACTGAGGGCCTGTTTGAAGGCCAACACTTCAGCCTGTGCCATGCAAGTCAGCACTTGATTACCAAACTGAAGCGAAACGTTCACGTTTGCAGTGGGCAGACGAGACAGGAAAGTGAAGCCCGGACATGTTTTGACAGTTGCAACTGTTTCATTAAAAGCAAGCGCTCCGTTCCAGTTAGAGGAAGTACTTTAGGTGAGGCACAGCTGGACTGAATTACCAATAACGATTTGCGTGACTGTGTCCAGTACAGCATGTATGACTGTAAAACTAATACATTTACACGTACTGGTTTTAGTCTTAGCAGAGCTGAAAAGCAGAGTTGCCGTCCATTGCGTCAGCACTTCTCTTGATCACAACCTCTCTCACACACACCACTGAAATCTTGACTAAAGCAATCACATAGCTGCTTCAAATGTTTCATTCTGCCTTTTTACAAACTAAATGTCTATTTCAATTCATCACCACAGTCAAAAATACTGTATGACTTGAAACAAAATGTGTTTAAATGTGAAATATTACCTTTTTTCTGTCGACTTCATGCACTAATATGCGATTTAACTGTTACTTCCGCATCACAACGCTGCACCACCACTCCCTGACAAATTTACGTGGAAGGGAAGTCGAAAAAAAAACCTGCAATAAACAAAACCACAAAAACAAGTGTGTGTGTGCATGAGCTGGCACTAAACATACTCTAACCGTCGAGTCTGGACTGCTATCACATGTGAATGTGCAGAATAGCCTCATGTAGGTTAACTAGGTGCTCGGTGTCCTCCTCGCCCTGCAGGATGTTCAGGAACAGCTCAGCTCAGCTTGATGCTGGCTGGTGGCCATGGGAGGAGGAGCGTGCCGACAGAGACTTATGGGAAACGCTTGTACACTTCCCCACAGTCCCCCTCCTCCTGCTCCCTGCCTCAGATCTGGGTTGCTTACGCTTCATTAAAGCTGCTGCAACAGAAAACAACGCGTTTGATTGTGGTTCTAATGGTCAGCTGTGAAGTACAAGCACAGGAGGCCTCCCAGTGCCCAACAGACGTTTGGTTGGAATAAATCATTAACTTGAACTTACTTGAACTAGGTGCAGTGTTCATTTTTAATCTAAACCAATAAGCTGTTTGGCATTTTTATGTGATACTGCCCTACATGCATGCTTATGAACTGGGTCAAGGTTGTGACCTCTATAAACACCTTCAATGTGAAGATGTTTGTGACCTTTCACGAGTCCTACGCTCGTCCCCCTAAAGACACGAGCTGCTCGTACTGTAAAGGTCTGTCACGCTTCAAGTGAAGCCATAAAACACTTCACATGTCTCGGCACTAACAGCCACAACTTGTCTTTCTATTGTTAAAACTAAACTACAAAAAGGTCTGACATGATAAGTATTTTCTTGTGGAAGATATTGGTAACATCTGAATTTAGAGCACGAGCTGTCTTCTTTATCGATCTGAAACAATCTCACTTTCTTTTCGTTGAAGCACCAAAACATGTTACTCAATTCAAAACCACCGCTGAACGCAGGAAATCCAGAATAATGCCGCCCTAGAAGCCCTGCAGCGCTTCAAGGACTAAATGCTAAAGGCAAGTTGCAAGATGCACCTGCACTGATACGGAACAATGTCTTCAAATATATTTTTAAAGACCAGGAATTCTTTGAAGGAATGAATATCGCCCATTCATGCAAGACTTTTAAACTTAAATCGTCTTTTGGTGAAAATGGAAAGTTGTAGCCATTTTGGTCAAGCCCAACAAAGTTAAGTCAGGTTTCCAAAGGACTTCATCAGTCCGAGGAGCCACAACAAACTCAGTCCCACAAGTAGCACACTCCCACAGTGGGACTCCTCAGAGGAGTCGACGGGGGAGAGGGCGGGCTCTAGAAACCATCTTATCACCAGCAAACTGGTTGGTTGTGGGACTGAGTTTGTTGTGGCTCCTCGGACTGATGAAGTCCTTTGGATGAAGGACAAAATGGCTCAACAAAAAAAGAAAAAAGAAACCATCCAGATGACCTGACTTATCTTTGTTGGATTTTCTTTACCTGGATTATTGATCATGGACTTTGATGTTTTGGTGAAAACTTGTAAATGATGTTATGCACAATCTCAAGTTCTTTATTGCCATTCGCATCACATGTGGTACATGAGGTGGAACGAAATCGTGCACTCAGGTGTACTTGTGTGACATTGTGAGATCTTGTGTAATAGTTAGCACATGAACTGTGTGTCTAAGATGACTCTCAGTTACTACCACACAGAATTTAGCTCAAGATATATAGAAACGTGGCTGAGCTGTGGTGGCCAGCTTGAACTGGGTTGACTAGAAAAGTTCACCAGTTACAGATTTACAACCAGTGGCTACTTCTGAGTTTCATTAAACTCTGCCCACTGATTCATGAGATATTTTGCTAACAAACAAAGAAATGAACACACACAAGTTTCTATCCTTATTAACACATCGCAACGACTCCCGTTAATCCCCGTACCCTAATTCTGACCATAATCCGTACATTCTTAACACTAATCTAAGCTCAATTTACACATTTTCCTTAAACTTATCCATCTAACCCATAACTGACTTTCCACTGTATCAGGACCAGCTTTGGGCCTTGTATGGCCTACTGGTCCTGACAAGTCACATGATTATATCAGAATAGATGATAAAAATTGAACACAGAACAAGTATACGTATGCACGGACACAAATATAATCACCATGCGATAATAAGTATATATATTTGATGTGTGTACTGTCTGAGTATACACACATCAAGAGTAACGATTTGTCATAAGAAAACACACACCAAGTAAATTAATCAATCATAACTTTGTGAGCAAACACTTTTTATATTTGACCTTTGTCCTCGTTGCTTTATTTCACTACAGCTTTTCATTTCCAGTTCTTATTCACCTTTCTGTATTTTACTTCCTCAGTCTGTTTTCAATTTCCCATTGCCTTTATGTATTATATTGTATATCGGATAACAGATGCCAGTGTTTACTCAGCAATCGTGTTTGTAGGACAGCGCCTCTAATCATTAGTACACGGAGCCCTGCAGGAGAAGGAAGTTATGCAGTTTTGTATACTCAGAAAACATCTTGTATATACTTCCTGATTTCAACATTTAAAACTTCCACAAAAGTTCAAATGAAAAGGAAGCACTGTCAGAACGTATGCATTCAAAGATGTCATGTGATGTTCTGCTAATGCAAACAAGTACTTTATATTTTAGCAGTAAACTTGGAAACAAAACCTAAGAGGAAAAATAAATCAAAAAAAGTTTGGAAAATAATAGTGCCAGCTGAAGCTAGTAGCTCTCTCTTGTAACATTTTACAGATTTTAAGAAACAGCAAAAACTATTTGGTATAAGAAAATTATTATATTAAATTATATATGTATAAAGCAAAAAGAAAGAAAGAAAACAATTTGGAGATAAACTGGAAAAAAACGAATAAAATGCAAAATGATTTACATAATGACAGTTATTACTGTGTAATTTAAACAACACAATGAGTGCAAACATGCATATTACTTAAAATAAATATTTCAAAATATACACCATAATAAACAAGTTCCAAACTGGGAATGTTATGGTTTGATTAATGCACTCTTAGTTGTTTAATGTCTTTAAAACAGTCAAATCTTTATTTTGTGCTGCCTAAGGCTGTGTACATTTACTTTATTTGTTCTTTTAGCATTCTTACCAAACTCAATTGAAGTTCTTGCTTTTTTTAAACATGAAAACATGAAATGTTGAAAGTTTCAGCTCAGGCAGCAGGACAGCTGTTTTACTGCAACATCTGTCTTAAAGAAACGTGAGGAGTTGAAGCTACAAGTGAAAGTGGCTGAAGGTTTTCAGTGACGTCACGAAACGTTTCAGCTGCTGCTGCAAACTCGAGCAGCTGAAACGTGTTCAGCGATTGTTCTGCCACAAACATCTGCCACAAACATCTGCCACAAACATCTGCCACAAACATCTCAACTTCCTCCATCCGCGCCATTACACTGCGCGCGAGCGGTTTTACTCTCGACGAAGATTGAAACGTTCAAAAGTTCAAAATGTTTCCCCGGAAGTCACGATGCGACAACAAGATGGTGTAAGGACAAGCCTGACTGAATTAATTCAGATAATTACTGATAACACTTCCACTCACCGTCTCTCACGTTAGGCGTCGGCCGCGGGCAGCCTTCACGGAACCTGTCTGCCGGAAACGGGTTTTGGTGTCTTTTCAAATTAAATTTAATAAATAAGAAACAATAGCATTTTTTGTTCCTTTTGAACAAGCATGACAGCGTAAATATAAAAAGTAATCTAAAAAATATGTATTTTTAAAGTATGGCTAAAGGAATATGTTTACATGCGCTTGTAAGCAATTCGTGTGCTTTTATTTTGAAAGTAAATCCCAGTAACGTTTTGTCGGTGCATTCTTTTGATCTGAGTTGGAAAAAAATGGATGAAAGAAAAACAATTAAAAAATCAATTAAACAATGAGAACTGGCACTAACTAGAACTAAAGCGATGTAATAAATAGCATAAAAGAACATATGTTGTCCAGTTTTATCTAAAAAATCTATTAGCAGAAAAAAGTTTTTATTTTCTTCTTCTTTCTCTTTTATTATTATCATCATTATTATTATTATTGTTATTGTTATTGTTGTTGTTGTTTGTGTTGTAAGAAAATATTCATTGATTGCATACAAAAAATATTTTCCAAAATGATTATATGTCACTGATATTTTTAATTACACATTTTAATGTTTTGTAATTATTTCCCCACTATATACAGTTTGATGAGAGACTGCACACGTTAGGGTGAATTTAGATTTGCTGTGGATCATTCCTGTATAGATGGGGTGGAGGCAAATATAAATATTATGGATGCCCCCATTGTTATTATTATCATTATTATTATTATTTGCTGTCAAGGAGCTGTGTCACAAATACAGTATTATTAGAAAAATAATTAATCAACTATTAGAAAACCATGCACAGATATAATTCAAAACGACAAGTGTCAGTAGATTAATCAACCTGTCAAATGGCAAAAAAAATAAATATTTCAGAGCCCTTTGCTCTTTAGACAATTTGTCTGTTGACATTTATCAACTAATACCAGGAAAAACTGGTTGGTCTGTAACTGGACCAATATCCTGTACATTTTGTTATTTCCCTGAAAAATATCAAATACAGATGTACTGAATGCAAGTCACAAAGGAAGTTGTATGCCCTGCTTTTGTGGCACCATGTTTTCAGTTATAAAACCTCCTAAACAAAGCCCAGCTCCCACAATATGTATATATATATATATATATATATATATATATATATATATATATATAATATATGTTTAGATTAAAAATGAGCTAAGACGTTTTCACACAATTTTACAAACACTCTGCAGTCCACTGTCTTACTGCCTGCTCAACTGATAAGAAAAAAAGTCCAAAAACAGTTTAATGTTAAGACATGTTTTGTTTTGTTTTAATCTCCAGCTCAGTTTTTGCAAACTGAATTAACCAGCACTGCCACGCTGCAAGAGTTCGAGTGACATTGATGATAATTTGCCTTTTAAAATATTTTTTTAGAATCCACCACCTCTGATTTTCTTGTATTATTAGTATTACTAGTATTATTTTCTTGTTTAATCATGTTTTCTACAGCTCTGTATTTATTCCACTCACATTATTTCTTTTTTTTACAGCAAGGTGACATTGTATTCTCCACAAATGTCAAACATTTTTATCTGTATTGACATGGATTAAGCACAAGATGGAGCTATGACTTTTACTTTTAAAGGTCTGCTGTACCATTTTATTTTACACTGTGCTTGTTGTGCAGTAATTCTTAATCAGTTATATATTGGAATATATTACATTCATTTCAAGTCACTCAGTTTAGCATAAAATTCTTTGTAGGCTACGTCTAAATTGCACTTTTTAAAATTAAAGTTCTTATAGTAGGCTATTGGATAAGGAGTTACCACTGAGGTTTTCTACTTATTTTTATATTGAACAAACCCTGATCATAATTGCTAAATTGAACCTCTATTTTTATTCTATGGATATTTTGTCTTATGTTGTCCTGCATGGTCAATGACAGCTGTTACCAGAGCATCTTTTTCTCCTTTTTGCGTTCAAGGTGCAATTTGCTGAGCTGCCATTATGAATGCGTCCTAATATATTTGTTCACTATATGAAAAAAGACAGTCAAATCACGATATGTCTTTAATAGCATTAATATTTAATTAAAATGTTTTTTATTTCTGATGAATTATCCCATAAATCTCTAAGCACTGTCTCGCCTCTGACGCAACCCTGACCAGTTTAATAATGTATGCTCTGTTAAAAAGTGAAGTGATTATTATTATTAGTTTGTTGTTGTTGTTGTTTCCTTGCCTCGAACCTTGATTGAACCGTTCTATTAGGATGAACGCATCCGTTCGGACGGACAGTGAGCACGTGAGCTGCGCCGCAGCGTCACCCGCACGCGCATCCTCACCGCAGCTTCTGTCCCAGTCACAGGAGAAGCTCGCGCTGCTGCTGCTCGCGCTGCTGCTGCTCGCGCTGAGAAAATGGCCGACAAATTTTCTAGGTTCAACGAAGAGCGCGATTTCCAGGTAAAGCGCGTTTAAACCCCACCATTTGTCGCAGTTCAGACATGACGCGCAGATTGTGAGCACGACAGAGGGTTGAACGCCCGGGAAGCGGACATTGTTGTTACAAAGGGCCGCAGACGGTTCCGTGTGGACGTCGCTTGTTAGCACTGCATGCTAATGCTAGTTCACTGCGGCTGTTTTGAAACAACTCCCAGACGTCTGGTGTTTTACTCCACTCGAGGGTTCGGCCTGTTCATCAATGCTTTGCTCTTACTCTACCTGTTGTAATCTCATAATAGCAAACAAAGCAATAAATGTCAGCCAGCTCGATGGTGACCTTGGGTTTGTTTGCTGTTTATCGACGTATGCTAACGATGACAGGCTAGCCTAGCATGTAGAAACACCATTTTGATCAGCGTCTCACCAGAGAAAACTATTCGAGTTGGTCTCTTACCAGAGAAAACTATTCGAGTTGGTCTCACCAGAGAAAACTATTCGAGTTGGTCTCACCAAAGAAAACTATTCGAGTTGGTCTCTTACCAGAGAAAACTATTCGAGTTGGTCTCACCAGAGAAAACTATTCGAGTTGGTCTCACCAGAGAAAACTGTTCGAGTTGGTCTTACCAGAGAAAACTATTCGAGTTGGTCTCACCAGAGAAAACTATTCGA